GTCTTAGGCACTACACCACCAGAGCTCCTAGAGAGATGCAAATCAAAACAACAATGAGATACCATCTTGCTCCAGCACTAGTAGCAAAGTTCAAGACAGAAAATAACAAATGCTGATGAGGATGCAGAGAGATTGGGACTCTCATACACTGCCAGTGGACATGTAAAATGGTACAACCACTGTGAAAAGCAGTATGGTGATTCCTTAAAAAGTTGGAATTAGAAATACCATTTGACCCAGCCATTCCATTACTAGGTATATATATATCCTAAAGAAGTGAGAGCCAGGACAAGGACAGACGTGCACACCCATGTTCATCACAGCACTATTTATAATAGCCAAAAGATGGAAACAACCTAGGTGTCCATCAACTGAAGATGGATAACCAAATTATGGTACATACACACAATGGAATAGTATGCAACCCTAAAGAATAATGTAGAATCTGCAAAATACCACATAACATGGATGAACTTGGAGGATATTATGCTGAGTGAAGTAGGTCAACTACAGAAGGACAAATATTGTATTAGTCTCTTATTGTAAAAAGTCAAGGAAATGTTTCTATATGGAAGGAAATTTTCTTTGTTGGTTACCGGGGTGGGAGGGGAGGGAAGGGAACACTGTTAGATAGGTAGAGGCAAGTATTGATTGGGTGAAGAGAAGAGGAATGTACCAAATGTGAGTGCTTAACATGGTGGCATTGAGGAAGAGGAAGACAGAGAGAGGTACATGGGAGGTACAGACAATAAAGATGAACCCTTTTGCATATTACAGTACTGTGTTATGAGTGAAGGCAAACATGGATGTAAGGGTGGACAGATGGTAGACAGGCTGAACTATTAGGTATGTCCATGCAGGGGGGAGTGTGCCCAAGACCATATATAGGGTTGGCAGACAATGGTTCTACAAGTGTATTGCTATGTTCTGTAAGAATTCCCAGGTATATAGTAGAGCTGACAAAGGACAAGGTTATAGTCATTTCTTGGCCTCAGCCAGCTACCCAGAAGGAGCTAGTAGTTGGACCTGTGGGCTCGGGACCATAGCCACAGGGGACGTCAAGCTCAAATGGCATAACACAGTACACAAAACATTGTTCCACCTCCTACTTTGGTGAGTTGCAACTAGGATCTTAAAAGCTTGCAAGCAGCCATCTAGATGCAATGATGGGTCTCTCATTGTCCAGAGCAAAGAAGAATGAAGAAAACCAAAGACACATGGAAACAATTAGTCCAAGCGACTGGTACACCAAGCAATCCTCAGCCTACATGACTATGAGACCAGAAGAACTAGATGGTGCCCGGCTACCATTGTCAATCACTCAGAGGGGGATCTATGTAGGAGATCCTGGATAGAGTAGGAAAACAATGTGGAGCAAAACTCAAAATCATTTGTGGGAGGGGGACCAGGTTTGCTTGTCTGATAGAGCTTGATGGAACCCTAGCTGCCCTTCAGGTCTGGAATTGAACCCACACCTGTGGCTTCCAGCCAAACAAAAGACAGGCACATGAGGTGAACATTTACACTAGGTAGATACACTCCTTGCAGAGAACAATCATGGGAGAATAGAAGGGCTGTGTATGCACAGGGAGATAGCTCAGGGGACAGGAGTGCATGGAGGGAATGACACAGGGAAGAGGTAACTATAGGGAAGAAGTGGGAGGAGAGCTGTTGCATTATGGTAAATTGTAGTCAATGTTATGAGACAAAGTGTATGTGAACTGCTGTATGAAAGTGAATTTGCTCTGTAAACTTTCACCCAAATCACAATAAAATAATAAAACAATGTATTGCATGGGGAAATCTGTTGAGGAAAAAAAAAAAAAAAAAAAAAAACCTCTTTAAAGTGTTAAAAAGCAAAAATGTCACTTCAAGGATTAAAGTGTGCCTGACCCAACCCAGGGTATTTTCAGTCTCCTCGTGTGCATGCAAAAGCTGAACAATAAATAAGAATCAATGCCTTTAAAGTATGATATTGGTGAAGAATATTAAATATACCATGGGCTGCCTAAAGAATGAACAAATCTGTCTTGAAAGAAGTACAGCCAGAATGTCCCTCAGAAGTGAAGATGGCACAACTTCCTTTCAAGTACTCTGGACATGTCATCAGAGAGTACCAGTCCTTGGAGAAGGGCATCATGCTTACTAGAGAGTAAGCAAAAAAGAGGAAGACCCTTAACAAGATGGACTGACACAGTGACTGTATAATAGGCTCACACAACAACGGCATGTTTGCAAGGATGTCACAAGGCGGGGAAGTGTTTCATTCTGTTGTACACATGATCATTATGAGTTGGAAGGGACTCGATGGCACCTAGCAACAACACAATAAGGCATTCATATGCTGCCTCTGAGAGGAGGGGTGGTGTGGCCCTCAGGACTGGCTCAAGGAGTATTATGACATTTGTATTTCTGTACCTTCTCTACCAGGATCCGGTCTGTCTCTTGCACGCTGGTATCTGGCACTTGCTTGTCCAAGTAACCCACTGGGTACAAGGAGTCTCCCTGGCCACTGCCCCGGTCACTTCGGCCCCTAAGAAACCAAACCAAGAAACTATGGCTGAAATCTCCTGCACTTCCTTTGCCACAGAGAAAGGGAGGACTGAAATAAATATCCTCTGGGCGTAGAAACATGCACAGGAGAAAAATCACTACTTCCCCAAGTGGTGTCTGTGTCCCACCCATCCTCTTCAAACAGTTGCTTCCGAGGTCCCATTCCTCTGGGATGACCGAGCTTATGTCGGGCTTCCCAGCCACCTCACCTGCTGCCTCCTCCAGGCCCGCTCAGCTCAATAGCCCATTTGAAGCGCCGACCTCTGTTGGCCACCAGTCCCCCTTGGGCAGTCATGGCAATCGCCGCCTCCCAAACCCGCTAAGCCCCTCTTTCCAAAACGACTCAATAACCGTATAGACCCCACCAGCGTCCCCTACTTCTTCGTCTTATTCTGTAAGTACAGTTCCGGCGCTGGTTTTATGCGTCACTTCCGGTCAGGAAATTACCTAGGTGGAAGACAGAGTTTGTGAATTCGAGAGAAAGGAAATGCTGAATCTGTTTAGATGTTCCAGAAGTGATTCTTACGCGCTAGCCACTTTCCGAAGGGGTCTGGGGTGCTGAACACCTTTGAGGTGCTGCTTTATGGGGAAATGGGTAGTGTATACTGACCCTGTGTTAGGAATGGAAGCTAAGAAAAGTTGCTTAATCGCTTACCTGCTCCAGGGAACACAAAATTCGAATCCTGCGTTTGAAACTTGGCTTCGCCACTGTTTGTTTAACTTTGATTGAGTTATTTAGTCTTAGCTTCTGAGTATTGACCGTCCATTGTGTTCCAGGAGGTTTATGTTTATTTCGTTTAATTGGCACAGTTACCTTGCGAACTGGATAGCACAGTCCCAGTTGTGCGTAAAGAGGCAATATGGGATCGTAGAAAAGTGCGTGGGCTCTGAATTGTGATGGTTTGCTTTTGAATCCTCGCTTCACCAGCTGCTAATTGTTTGACCTTGGTCATGTTTAGAACTTTGTGTTTCAACTTCCCTACGTAAAAGGCTTATTAAGAAGAGCGCACATACACGTGATGTCTTTTTAAAATGTCATTAAATCTTGTATTATAGCTTAAATTTTAACACAGTTTGTGGAAGGCTGGGTGCACAGCGGGAGACTTAACTCCATTTTGAGTCTTCACATAAGTTCAGATAGCGTTTGAGTTCTTTCTGAACATTAAAGGAACAATGTTTATAGATAGACAAGTGAGGAGCAATCCTAGGGAAGAGCATTTTGCCGTTAGGAAGAGTGCGGCTGAAAGATTATGTTCACATAAAGAACTAGGGAAATTGCCTGGGTATATCTTTAATGATTTACAGAAAATAGCTGCATGTAACCTAATTTAAGTTAAAGGTTGGGGTCCTGGTATAGTCTAGTGGCTATGTCTGAGGGCCAGGTGGTCAAGCCCCAGGGGGGAAAAAAATACTGCAACCCTTTTTAATCTGCAGTTATGTACCTATCCCAATCATGACCCTTTTCCCACTTCTGTAGTCCCTCCTGCAACAGTGATGAATTGACGTGCCACCAATCATGATTTTGTGATGGTTCCTTTGTTTTCTGTGATACATAGTTAGCCCTATGGCTGTGAATGAGCCGGCCCCATTCAACTTATGTATGTTGTTCATGCTGATGGTTTCCCTCATCCTGAATGATTTTGTCTTTGCCATGTCTAAGGCTTAGTGAAAGGGTCTCTATAGAACTTGTTGGGAGCTCTGGTGGTGTAATGCCTAAGGCATTTGACTGCTAACCGGAAGACTGGCAGTTCAAAACCACCAGCCACTCCTAGGAAGGACGGTTCAGCAATCTACTTCCATAGTGATACTGCTTTGGAAACCCAAGGAGGGGTCGCTATGAGTCGGATCTGACTCAACAGCAGTGAGTTCAGTTTTTGGTTATTTAGAACATGTTTGAATCTGAGTTGTTTTCTTTCTCCCCCTACCTATCACAGCCTACACCATTATGTGTAATGATGGGGTTTTGAATTCACTTGTATACCTGTATCATAATTTACCTTATTGAGCATTTAAGTTGTTCCCTGGTGTTTTGGGTCCCCACACCTCTCATTATTGTTGTAAGCATTTCTTTGTTAGTTGCTGTCAAGTCAATTCCAACTCATGGCAAACCCATATGTGCAGAGCAGAACAGCTTCATAGGGTTTTCATGACGGACACTTTAGAAGCAGATCACTAAACCTCTTTTCCAAGGTGCCACGGGCTGGTTTCCAACCACCAAATTTTGACTATCAGCCAAACACTTAACCATTGTGCCACCAGGTCACTTTAAGTTAAATTTGAAGAAGTAAAATTGTATCTGAGTATGCATGTTTTTAAGGAATTTCCATTTAAAATGCACACCAAAAAAAAAAAATGCACCTTTTATATTCTACCAGCTTTATAATTTTTAAAATTGCCAGTTTGATAAAACTACTTCACTATTTTTTAATTTTCTTTTCTTTGACTATTTGTTTGATATGGCTGAATTGGAGGCAGAGGTGTCTGTCAGAGTGCAGTTGAGAGAGAAGGTTGGAAAGGGCCTTGTAAGCTGAACTGAAGGGTTGGGATTCTTGAAGATTATGGTGATCTGAATACACTGAATATTTCCACCTCCATCTTGTGTTCTGATTTTTAAAATAATATATGTTCATAGTAGACCATTTGAACAAAGCAGAAATGGGAAAGTCTTTCTTTCCTTCAGTCCATTCTGAAATGCATTATGAAAACCCAACTTATGGATCATTTTCCTGCTGTTTTTTATGTTTTTACCTTTTCCATATTGCCTCTGATGAACCTTTGAAACTCATCTCGAGCTTTACAAGGGACTTGGCCTGTGATACTGATTTTTGGCCTGATATATTGTACATAATAGTGTTTACCACATTGTATTTTATTTGTTGACTTATGCCCTGAGCACTTATCCCCATCCCCACCCCATCCTAAATTCCTTGAGTTAACACTATATGTTAAACATGTTTGATTCCAGGATGCTTAAAGCTATTGTTGAACAGATACTTAGTAAGTGTTTATTGAATGAAATTGAAAGTAAATATAATACAAAGGCATAATATATTATGATTACAATTATGTGAAATAAAAACTAGAAGACAGTATACAAATAATACTGTTTTCAGGTAAAAGTTTCCATGTAATTTTGTGTTTTCAACATGCTATTGTTATGCTTTAAATTTCACATGAACACTTTTGAAAATGTTGATCATTTTCTTTCTCTTTTATGGTACTTCCCTACTTACTTTAAAAATATTTTAACTATAACCCAAATCAAAGTAACGTTGGCCTCAGTGGAGTGCTCCAGATCATTTATTCCTTTATCTTAGGAATCCTCTTGGTGTTATTGCTAAAACATGTTCCAAAGGACATAAAGATATTGGGACTGAGCTGAGGAAGGGTTCTAATATCAAATAAGTTTGAGAAATACTGCATGTTCTATTCTGCACATACAACCCAGAGATTCTAAGTGCTATTAGTATAACACATTAAAACCCTAAGAAACGGTGCAGCAAAGAATCGCTAATTTTATTTCTTAATTTACCTGAGTAAGAAAGCTTTTTTTTTTTTTTTTCCTTATCACACGTGTTAGGATCTAATGCAATGAATGTTACATGGAACAATGGGAGCAGCTTTGTAGGAATGCTAGAATTGTTCAGGAGAAAGGTAAAGTTACTACCTATAAAGCTTTTTTTTTTAAGATTATTAGATTATTAGAAATAATAAATATTTTATGGAAATTGAGTTCCAAGTTGAAATTAAAATTCTGAGGATTTAAGTTTTTGCACAAATTATGTTTTGCAAGGTGCCAAAGGGGCAGGGAGGCTGCATCTTCTAACCTTCTCTAACCCCACAAGAAGAAGACAGAATCACCATCAGTAGCCCAAGGCCTATTCCTGAGAAAGCAGACATGTTGCCTCCCGCCGGCACTTTGACCAACCATTTCTCCCGCAGCACCTGCCACCTTTCTGCTGGGTTCGATAATTCACTGCAGTGGCCACACAGAACTCAGATTTTGGGGTTTATTAGGGAAGCACCAGGCTACAATTCAAGTTCAGGAAAAATGCTTAGTGTCCCTTAGCCTGCCGTCTCTCAGCCAGCAGTCTTTCTCAGTCTCTCCCAGCAATGTGTGTCTCTCAAGAGCATGTTTCTCTCAGGAGCACATTTCTCTCAGCAGCACGTCTTTCTCAGCCAGCAGTCAGAGAGACCCCTTCTGCCTCTAGGAGGCCTCCTTTTGGAGGCAGAGTGGCCAGACTAACCAATCCCAACATCCGAATTCCATACACCTGAAAGAAAGTGAACTTCCTACAAAATTACTTTGTGCTGCTCCCAACAGAAATACCCCAGGTGGATAACTAACAATCAGGAGCTACTTGGTTGCTCATGGCAAATTCCACCACAGAGTTCACAAAGACTTATGGCTAGAAAAGCCTTACCAGGTAATTTACTACACAGCGCAAGGTAAAGAAAATGTAAGTATTTCCAGAAGTCTGAATGTGGAGTATTGATATATTAGTGGATCAAGAACTGTTTTTGGAATTAAGAAATCTGGATTCTTAGCTTGACTCCACAAGAACTGAATTTTGAGTCAGGGACTCTTTTGGCCTCAATTTCTTCATCTGTAAAATAAGAGAGTTATATTAGATGATTTTTAAGGGTAACCTTTAGCTCTAAAATCTATTATACTCTTATTATAAACATATATTTTGCATACTTTTTTCCATCCATATATTCTACTGTGCAGCCAACATTGAGAACCACTGACCTAGAGTATCCTGTTGCTCTAAAATAACAAGGTTTTCATTTACATAAAGTAATTTAAGCAAGCAGTCAATGTATCTAGTCCTCACTTATTGACTATCTCATTATCTGACATTTTGAACTTATGACAATAGTGAAAAATCTACCCAGCTGTTTTCTGCATCTGCAAATAATGCTGAGGTGAGAGGCAAGGGTAATTCTAGCTGTGATAGTTAAGTTTATATGCCAACTTGGCTACACCATGATTCTTGGTGGTTTGGCAATTACGTAATGATATAATTTGGCAGTTTCGTGATGATGAAATTAGGTGGTTATGTAATGATGTAATTTGGTAGTTATGTAAGGATGTAGTCATTTTCTATTTTGGGATCAGATGTGGTCATCCTCCATTTTTGCATACCACCAGTTTTTGCATAACAACCTGGTCTTTGGAAGTTAACCATGTTGATAAGTGAGGAATGAGTGTAGTTTTTGAGAGCCTCCTTGTATGCCTCCCCCTGGACTAAACTGGAATTGGAAAAAAAATGAGAATACTGACATTGGAAAATAAATATTAAATTTCTCTTATTTTTTACCTTTGAGCAAATACAGTTTTTAGTAGA